AAATCGTACAGCTGTTCTCCCTAGCATCTTGTTATGCAGAATAAAATTATCCTATTCAACACACAGAATTGAGTGAAATGTACAGCAAAGCAATTTTAAAAAAAGAAGAGGAGAAACGTAAAGTAAACAACTCCCTAGTGAATAATTTCCTCTGCGAAGCCTTAATGAGAACAGTTACTAAAGGTATGATCTGTGGAGATGCAGCTGCTCAGCACCTCTTACATTTGCAATAATGCCACGCTTGTTACTTAGAATACATAGCCCTTTTCATCAATGGACCTCAAAGTGCTTGGCAAAGGATGCACGGCATTATTACAGATGGGGCAACTGAGGCACAGAGACAGGAAGTGACTTGCCCTAGATCATCAGCAAAGGCAGAAACACAACCAAGGTCTTCCAGGTCCCAGTCCAAGGATCTATCCACTAAGCCACACAGCCTACTTCACATTCATACCTCTATTCACATAGGCCTGATTGGGCAAAGCATTTAAGCATGTGCTTACATCCCAATAAATTCAATACCTAAATAAATTCACCTTTAATGGGATGTAGGCGCATGCTGAGACGCTTAGTTGAACCGCAGCTTGTTCAGCTTTATATGTCCAACTGTACAGGGGCAAGTTAATGAACCTCTGTGCTAACATGCAATATAATAATACAGAATTAATAATGAATGTCATGTGATTATTATACAGTAGCCTGAACAATTAGTACCATAAAATCTGATTCCAGTCCCATACTTACTTATAATGCATTAATTCCACCCCTTTCTCCTTTGAATTGGGATCTACCTTCATCTTCCTGCATACTTTCCGGCTTTCTGCATCGCTGCGAGATACAGGGACAGGAAAAAGTATGGTTAAAAAAATGAAATCGAAATGTGCCCAACATTTAAGATAAAATGCATGGCTCTGCTCTCTTATCAGCTTTGTTGTGAATATGGTCATTTAGAAACCTCACTCATTCCTCGAGCAAGAATACAGGAACTTTGTGGCAGTCACCTCTGATTCTAATTGTATGTACATGGGGCTAAAGAGTGATGAAACAGGAACCAATAATTCCAGTTTCTCCCCAAATTCCTATCCGCTGAAACGGAGTTTAACTGCTACTGAGTTTACCTCTCTGGTCTGGCACCCTCAGGACCTAACCAGTCCCAGAGGAAAGAACTTGCCAGACCAGGGGAAGTCCCCTGCCACTAGACCGGCAGCCCACTGCTGCTTCCAGTCCCCAGCCCTGTGCCTCCATCCGGCTGTGCTGCTGGCCCTGGCCAGGTTTGCCAGACACTGGCTCCCCACAACGCTGCCAGGGCTCCCGGTCCCCCCGGCTGGGCTCTCAGCCACACTTCTAGCCCCCTCTGCTCCTGGGCTCTTTGGTTCAGAAACATCCATGTTCCTGCCAGGACACAGATGCCCGGTTCATGATTCGGTGTGTAGGCAACGCTTCTGCTTAGGCGACTAAGAGAGGGATTCCAAGTTTCAGGAAGAATGTGCCCATAGCTTTGACGACAGGATTGGTGAGCAAACGGTGTTCCAGAAGGGATGGGAATTAAAATCAACTTTTGTACCTGAGCAGGAGGGAATTCCAGGAAAAAGAAGCAGGCAGCATGCAAGCAGTGGAGACCAGAGTGGGACAGAAACTGAGTCAGAACGGTAAGAGGGGGCATGAGAAGAAATTAAGAGAGCTATAGACCCTAATTCAGGAAAGCATCTGTGTTCAGAACAGTGATTCAGCATTTGCTCCAATCCCACATACTTAAGTGCTGTCCTGAGTTAGGTGCAGTGGTCAGAGCAGAGTTGCATGGAACCTTAAAGATTGTTGTGAATGTGAAAGACGAGAGAGGAAGACATTGAAGGGATTTGCAGAGAGGCCAGAAATGGTCAGAGTGACACAGAGGAAAGGAGGGTTCATGCTGGCAATATCATTCTTTGCTTAGACAAAAGAGAAAGATTAAAAAGCTTTGAGACCTGTTCCTCGGCAGATGGCAGCCGGCACTTTTTGCACCAATAAATCAATTTAGAAAATGAAAACACTGAGTGCCCATCAATGCTACTGAAGTTTAAACTCATTAGTGCCACTTACGAAAGCTTAGACACATTGGGTATGTCTATACCGCTATAAAACACCTGCTGTTGGCTCATGCCAGCTGACTCAGGCTCACAGGGCTTTGGGTGCAGGGCTATAAAACTACATTTTAGATGTCTGGGCTCTGAAGTCCATACCCTGCAAGGAGGGAGGCTCTCAGAGCAAGCCAGCCGTGGGTATTTTAGTCCAATGTAGCCACACCCAAAGGCTGTCAGGAGCGCCACAAAATGCAGTGCTACTGCTGGTGTCTGTGACCAAGACTGTCAGGAGAACCGTCTGTCTCCTTACAAACACGAGAAATGAACAATCAATTAACACTGTGTTGCAGATAAGGGCAAACCTTGCATGCAGAGGTTTTCTGAGCACACTTTACAGATGGCATCACATTTCCGAAAATAGTACTAAGATACAAAAACATCAGTGTGTTCTACTGTGGATGCAAATTAGCATTCTGAGGAAACAGCAACACTATCAGAACAGCTTGCAGTTTCACACCCATTCCTGGAGTCACAGGTCATGGCCAGTAACCCATTTCCCTATTCTTCACCGTCAAATACCCGACAGACCACGGGCTTGCTTCTCCAAAACAGTTCTCACTATGGTCAACCACATGTTTGTTATCTCCATGCTGGACTGCTGGGATTCGCTCTCTGTAGCATTACAACGGGGCAGCCCTCAAACACGGCAGCCAATACCAAACAGGGCTGCCTATCTCATGAGCAAAGTGGGACAGTGACAACACGGGACACCTACACTCTATGCTGTAGCCATGTTGTTGTAACTTGTGTTAATTGGCAGTCATTTAACTCCAGCTAGCCAAACACCTTTGTAAATATTCCTCATAGCACCCCAGAAGCGTTAGTTCCAGGACACACAGAACTGTGGTTTGCCTGGCATCTCAGCTTCATCTCTAAACAATTTTTGCAGAGTGTCTAGATTAGCATGTTCAAAGGTTTTGACAACTTTATTAGCCCAATTTATAGTAGGGCCACAGGCTCTACTCTAGACAGAGTTGTAGGCCTGCAGATAGCGTTGCAGGATACTTGCTTTCTGTTGCTGGGAATGTTTATTCTGGTCTGTTGAACAGGACGCAGAATGGGACTCAAGAGACTTGGATTCCATTCCCACCTCTACCACTGATTCATTGTGGGAAAGTGACTTAACTTCCAATGCCTCATTCTTCCTATTTGTTGAACAGGGATGGGGAGACTTACTATCCCTTTAGATTTACACAGAACTAGTACTACACAGTATTGTTTTCTGATGGAAGGGATGCCTGGGTATTAAAATGAGATTCTTATGACTATCTGTGAGGAACGTAACCCAGTGCAATTCCTAGTAACTCCCTGCTAGAGCACTTATTAAACAAAGGAAATAAAAACAACAGAAGATACCTGTCAAAAACAGCCTCTGAAGCAGAGGTGGGGAACCTTTTTTTGGGTCGGAAGCTGCTGACCCACAGAAAAATCAGTTAAAAAAAAAACCCCACACCCTTCTCACGTGACCCCCGACTGAGAAGGAGAAAGATACTCCCCACGTTCCCCTTGCACACCAGAGCCTTAGGGAGGCCCAGGCTAGTAGAGTTTGTGTGCTCCAGCCCCAGTGGCGAGGAGGGGCTAGAGCACCAGCATGGGCTCCCCAACACTGAGGGGGGGGCGGGAAGACCCCTGAGGGCTGGATCCAGGCAAATGGAGGGGGTGCATCCAGCCCCCGGACCTTAGGTTCCCCACCCCTGCTCTAAAACCTGGCATATGCTGGGAAATTGCCCCAATTTCAGCCACCTGTATAAATGCCCAGATGCAAACCCACTAGCATAGACAAGGGGAGCTACGATTTGCACTGGTGCATCTTAACCTGGTTTCCAGCACAGGTACACCAGGCCAGTGTAAACAGAAGTTTCACCTAACTACACTAGGCCTGCACCGAGTAAGGCTGGATCACAGAAAATCCCCAGCACAAATGACGCTTAAATATCCATCAGTAAATGTTTCATGCATCACTGCAGATGTCATAGCTTCACCGATTCCAAGGCCAAGATTTCAGCACGACAAATGCAGAGGATTCATTTATGTTTCTTTGGAGAGAGAGAACCCAAACAATTCATTGGGAAGAGAATGCTGCTGTACCTAGTTATGTTTTATCTACGCTCCTTCTGCTTATCTCCCTGCAAGCCATAAAACAAAATAATCCTCAAGGTGTCTGTTGATAGCAACCTTTTCCGATACATTTGGTAACTGCCATTATTCAGTAAATACCAACATCACTTCAGCCTCTGCTCTGAGGAGATTTACCTCCTTGGGATTTCAGCCAACAGCCTCTCTCGCGTGACAAGCGTTTCACCTCTCACTTGGGAAAGGATAATTAGGTCTCCAGTGTTTGCAATTTAATTATACTCTTTGAAGAGGAAAGGAAGTTCATTCTAGGGCCTTTAAAAAAATTCAGATACACATACAACTCCCAAACTGACTGTCGAACGAATAAGACATTCAAGACAAGGATACAGGCTCAGGAGAAATACCTCAGAAGTGCTAGCTTAAGTAATGAGGTCAGGAACTCTGCTCACATTAATAGTGTTCTGCTCCCTCGGGACACCCCCCTGCTACACGAAGGTTAACCCAGTAGCTCAGCGTCATGCCACCGCTGACAAGAAAGGCCCGTTTTATTTACAGTGTGTTCCAGAAATAATCCAGCTCTATTCCCAGTGTTTAGCCCAAACCAGAAACCAGAAGGATGGATACACAAGGAAACTCACTGAAAATCTCCACAGAGACAGGGTGGCTGAACCCAAGTGGTTCCATGTCACCACCTCCACCCTACTCTGGATCCACAGAAACCATTAAGGCAGTGGTGGGTAATTTGCAGCCCATATGGTTTCTGTGTGTGGCCCATGAGACATTTTGCTTGCCAGTGCCCACGTGCAGGTTTGCCAGATTCTGCTGGTTTCCATCCATCTAGTTTTTCTCTTATCAGTTTTACTACAGTGACACACACACATACAGCAAGGGTACATGAAGCAAGGTGCACATGGACTGCACACAACATTGACTGTGAGAGCCCTGTGCTCCCGCCGCTATGCTTCAATCGGCACACTCCACAAATTCTAGGTACACACAGCAGTTTGCAAAACTACCTTATCCCAGGAGACTGTCTTGGTTATGACAATCTTGTGGCCTACTGAGATGAAGAAGGGCCGCTCATGTGGCCCAATGACTAGCCTAGGTTGGAAGAAACCTCAGGAGGTCACTACATTAAAGGGTCTATAGTTGAGGGTAGGGATGTAAGCGACTAATGGACTATCTGATAAGCAAAAGCTTATTGGATAGTTGACACACTAGTCAATTAGTCGCTTCCCCCACCGTTGCTACCTGTATAACAAAGAGGCAGCCAACTATGAAATGTACAAGAGTCCCGCTGGGACTGCTGCGCGGAGTCCCACTGGGAATGCTGCTGTCCCTGGACTCCATGCCACGTGTCCTCTTTGAAACGTACAAGAGATCCCACTGAGGCTCTTGTACATTTCCAAGGCAGAACACACTAGTCCTTATCGACTAATTGAATAGTTGATGGAAATCCCATTGACTATTCGATTAGTTAATTAATCGAACATTAACATCCCTAGTTGAAGGAGAGACAGACCCTGTGGAAAGCCACTTCTGAAATATCCTTTGGAAACTTGTGGAGTTTCCTAGCATCAGACAACTGTTGACTTTAGCTGGTATGGAAACCCACTTTGTATTGCCCCACAC